ATCGTGGCATATTGGCACCAAAGAGAGAGGCATGAATGACTTCCAATAAGTGTCTGTTCTTTCTTTCAGCCACCCCATTCTGTTGGGGAGTGTAAGGGCATGAGAATTGATGTATGATGTCATGATCCTGTAAGAACTGGTTAAGATCATGGTTGAGAAATTCTCGGCCATTGTCAAAACGAAGAACCTGAATTCTGGCATGAAACTAAGTCTCCACCATTTGATAAAACTATTGAAACCTGGAACTGACTTCCCCTTTACTTTTGAGAAGGGAAACCCAAGTCATGCGTGTGCAATCATTTATAAACGTGACAAACCAGCGAGCCCCTGCCGGAGTGGCAATTTTAGCAGGTCCCCAAACATCAGAATGAACAAGAGAAAATGGAACCAAACTCTTATTTGAACTTAATGGGAACGGGACACGATGGCTCTTAGCCAATTCACACGTATCACACTGGAAGCTGGAAACATCAAGACTGGAAAATAATGATGGAAATAACTTCTTAAGATAATCGAATGAGGCATGCCCAAGACGTTTATGCCATAACGAAATTTTGTCTCTCTCCCCCTTAGAACAAGTTCCACTGGTTGTGAAAGCTTGACCAACCTTGACCTCACTATTTGGTGCCCAGTCCAAGTAGTAGAGTTTGCCCCACCGAGTACAACAACCAATCGTCTTTCTTGTGAGGATGTCCTGAAAAACACAATTATTTGGCCAAAATGTTACAGTACACCCCAAAGTAGTAGTAAGTTGTGCAACAGATAACAAGTTATTGTCCAAAGATGAGACAAGTAATACAGCATCCAGATGTAGGGAAGTAGAGAGAGACATAGACCCCTCCCCAACCACAGGGGAGGGGTACCATTAGCATTAGACACCACCGACAGAGTGGATGATTTGTGACTAATAAGTTGGCCAGGATCAAATGTCATGTGATTCGTAGCACACGAGTTGATAATCCATGCAGATTTTTCAGAGGACGTATGAAAAGTAGAACCTTTGGTGATGGCGATAGAAGCACGAGTCCGAGGTAGCCGGGTCAGCAGGATTGACCGCATGCTTTTGTGAGTCTGCAATAAGGGGGAGAATAGTAGGGGTTCCTGACATCGCAACGGAAGTAAGATGTGATATGAGAATGTGAGGAATTTTGATTTGAGGAATTTGATGTATGAATTTGATGTAGGAATTGGATTTGAGAGGTATGTGTATAAGATTTGAGGGTATGTGTTTAGGGATTTTGATAAGAGGATTTGAGGACGTGGAGCACGTGTGGCCGTTGGGCTTTCACACATGGGCTAACCCCGCTCTGATACCATGCTAAAATATGAATATGGTTTGAATACTTTCGGTTATTCTTATCCATAAGGAGATATATATATATATATAGGAGTTTACATGAGTGCTTTACAAGGAAATAGATACAGTAATCAATTAGGATAGTATCTCCTAATTGTACAATGATTTGTCAATTATATAGAATAGGAAAGTAAATCCCTTAATTAATCAAGGAAATAAATCTCCTTGATTAATTAGGAGACTCACATCAACAAATAGTGTTGGAAGGGATTGTGGAGGCCCTCGGATAATTAAGTTAGTTTTTATTATTTAATTATAGTGAATTGACAAAATTGCCTTTCGAAAAATATCACATACGACTTGACTTAATGGAAATTTTAACAGAGTTAGACATAGGTGGTTAATTGTAACACTTTACAAAATTTAGGTGGTTAATAGTTAAAATTAAAAATCCAGGTGGTAAATGTACACATGCTTAAAAAGTTCAGGTGGTATTTATGCAAATTTCTCATAATATATATATACAGTTATTTTCTTATTCAGATGTTCGTATGTTATTATTGTGCGGATGCTATTGTAAACAGACAGGAAAGCAGAGAGGGGGGAATACAAAATACATGGTGTCCACACAATAATAACGTCCGGATATCCGCATAGGAGAATATATATATATATATATATATATATATATATATATATATATATATATATATATATATATATATATATATATATATATATATATATATATATATATATATATATATATATATATATATATATATATATATATATATATATATATATATATATATATATATATATATATATATATATATATATATATATATATATATATATATATATATATATATATATATATATATATATATATATATATATATATATATATATATATATATATATATATATATATATATTATCAGCTTAAATTGAGACGAAAGGTGCAAATGATGAATCCAGATATAGATTTACTGTTGTATAAAAAGGGTCTTAATAAGAGCTTAAAGAAGGTTATCATGAATAACTTACAACAAAAACTTGAAGAAAATAAAGATGTTGATGTAGAGAATATTCTCTCTCTTGTTCCCACTATACACAAAAGGCACCTCGTGTGCGTTCTCGGCTCGACTTTACTAAAGAAAGTAAGTGCTTAATTTGTCTATCAAATTATAAATTTAATTATATGTATGTATGTTCCTTGCCAGAGATTAATTTATTCTCTTTGTTTTTCTCAAATAATATTAATATTCGTAGGTGTCAATGCTAGAAAATATGGATGAAAGGGTGTTGGAAGCAATATGTGATCATCTTAAATTGGTTAAGTATAGCGAGGACAACTATATTGTTCAAGAGGGAGAACCACTTGAAAAGATGCTCTTCATCACGCAAGGCACCGCATGGTCCTACACAAGCAGTGCAAGTGGTACATCAGCGATCAAGTGTCTTGTGAAAGGTGATTTCTATGGAGACGAGCTTCTAAATTGGGCATCAAGATTGACCCCCTTCTCTGCATTTCCCAACTCAACCAAAATTGTCAAGGCCCATACTAACGTTGAAGCACTTGTTATCAAGGCCGATAACTTGAACACTGTTGTCTCCAGATTTTGGTGGCATTTTAGCAACAGGCTCGGTCATATGAATGAGTCTCAGCTGGAGAGGTGTCAGCATCTGGCAGCTTCTAGCATACAAGCAAAATGGCGTTATCATCTTGCAAAGGCTGTCTAGGGCTATAAAACTTAATTAGGTGCAACGGAGTTTACCTTCTCGTGTCTATGTTTCTCCTTATATTATGTTTCACGTGAGAAGAGAGAGCATTGCATGTTACTGGTAAAATATTGTCACATTAAGTGTATCTAAAATGTTGAGAAGGCAATGGGGTCTAGTTTAGTGAAAAAGGGGCATTAACTTGCTAGTGGTCTCGGGTTCAAACTCCCATGGCACTATAATAGTGTGTATGTGTGAGATCCTAGTTTAATTGGAAGATTTATTTTCTAGTCTATTAGGATCTTATTTATTTCCTTTTGTACAGATATTGTGTAATTAGAATTTTATCTTGTTTCCTTGTATAACCTTACTAGGGTTTACAACCTTGTATTATAAATACCTCCTTTTGAAAAATGACATATAATATGAAAATATTCTACCTGTATTGTTTGGCTTGGCATTAGAGCCAACTTTTCTGGTGACCTTGTGTGTTGTATCCACCCATGTTCTACTATGTGCCCTAATTTCTTTTTAGGGTTCTCTTGTGCCTATGTTTGTGTCATGTGTGCTCTATTGGGTTTGTGTGTTTGTGGTGTCGTGTGCTGTATTTGCTTTGTGTTGTGTTTCCACTGCTATCATGAGTGATGATTCCAAACTTGTGATGGATTCTAGTGCTTCTGGAATGAAGGAGGATTGTCATTGGCGGGAATACTCTACTCCTATTACTCCTAACAAATTGGATTGCTCCAATTGTGCCTCTTGGTCTCATAGTGCATGCCTTACGATTACTGGTCGTCATATGGCAAGCTTCATCAATGGGAAGAAGACTGCTCTGTCATCGCATCTTACGATGTTTGCCTTTTCTGCTTTAAACCTCTTGATGTAATCTGAAAGGGATTCATCGTGCTTCTTGCGCAGGTTGGACATGGGGTCAGGGTTCTTCTTGATCGTACGATAAGAAGTGTACTCCT